AGCACCGTTAATGGATCGAAGGAGAAAACTACATATTTTCGTAATTTATTTTATTAATTTATACTAATATATAAATCTACAGTGCTTTTACGGATGTTTCGTAATAATTACTGAGCCATGCGTCCGATTGACTTGAAACTTGGTATCCATGTAGAAAATACATGTACTTAATGGATAAGCTAATATTTATATGAGTGTTGGACTCCCTACACCAGATGCGGGGGTGTTAACGATGAGAATCTTTATGGGAGCGAGAAATAATAATGTTAATTTTAAATGCCCAGCGAAGCGGACGGGTACAGCTAGTATTATATATTACTAGCGACCCGCCCTCGCTTCGCTTCGGAAACATTAAAACACAAATGAAAGCAAAAAAATAAAATAAAATTTTTTTTAAAAAAAGTAGCCTATGTTCATCAGGGACAATGTCGGCTTCTAATGGAAAAAGAATTTTTCAAATCGGTCCAGTAGTTTCGGAGCCTATTCGAAACAAACAAACAAACAAATCTTTCCTCTTTATAATATTAGTATAGATTATTATAATATTAGTATAGATTATTATTATTATTATTATTAGTATAGATTAGTATAGATTATATTTCTTCTGTGCGTGTGTTTGTCACTGAACTCCTCCTAAACAGCTGGACAGATTTTAATGAAATTCTCTGTGTACCTTTGGGTGGATTCGAGAATGGGTTACCATTCCGATAGAGGCACCCGTCACGTGCGGACGTGCTCATCGTCCACTCGATCGCCCGGTCTTTGTTCGCCCGGCTTTTGTTAGCCCGGCCATTGTTCGCGCGGCCTGTGTTTGTGGTACATCTGCCGACTAAGTGCTCTTTCTGGAAGTTTTTATTTGTTTTGTTTCCTTTTGTTGTTTCTGTGTTCGTGGTACATCTGCCGACAAAGTGGTTTCCTGCAAGTATTTATTTGTTTTGTTTCTTTTCGTAATTTCTGTTTTGTTGTGCTTTTTCTTTGTCCTGTAGTAATCGCGCCGCATTGCCACCTGTGTTCAATAGAACCGCTCAGGTCCGAGAAGTTGGGGCCTCGCCGCAAGGCGAGTGTTTTCAAGACCCGGGGCCGCCCCACCTGGGTACTCAGCGATCATGGACGCTGTATTCGCGGAATTCCTCCGACTTCGCCACCCACAGCTCGCCTCGGAGTTTTTGGCCTTNTTCGGTCTTCTTGCCCGGGGGGGGCGGCCCCGGGACTTTTGTTGAACTCGCCGAAAGGCGAGGCCCCGGATAGGATTTGTAACCCCCCTGTGCTGCAGGACAGCAAGGAGCAGGGGGGGGGAATGCCTATGCCGTGAAAACGGCAATCGGCGGGGAAAAGGAAAGGAACCCGCTCGGGCTGTATAATGCTACAGCAGGCGGAATCGCGAGCGGGGGTCTAGTCTTGAAAAAGACTGTTGTTTTGGGAAGGGTTAGGAAATCGCTAGCCTGTGATAGTGCCACAGGAAGCCTGATCGTAGCGATTGGTTTTGTCTTGAAAAAGACAGTTGGTAAAGGGTGGGTTCGCGGTTACAACACTTTAGCGCACAAAAATGGACTTCGAGACGCAGATCGCAAGCGACCAACGGATCGGAACGTCCGCACTACCGAATTGTAAGCACGATGTATTCACGGTCACTACACTGTCGAGCACAACTGTGAGTTCAGAGACGCAGCTCGCAAGCGGGCCACGGATCGGAAAGCACGTCCGCGCACGACCGAGTCGTGAGCGAGAATTTACTTAATGGATAAGCTAATATTTATATGAGTGTTGGACTCCCTACACCAGATGCGGGGACGTTAATGATGAGAATCTTTATGGGAGCGAGAAATAATAATGTTAATTTTAAATGCCCAGCGAAGCGGACGGGTACAGCTAGTATTATATATATTATTATATTTCTTCTGTGCGTGTGTTTGTCACTGAACTCCTCCTAAACAGCTGGACCGATTTTAATGGAATTCTCTGTGTACCTTTAGGTGGATTCGAGAATGGGTTAGATTTACAAATCAGCCCGGCAGATGGCGCTGCAGTCGGTGTCTAAATTATCTTTCGTAGAAATAATTTAAATGACAAAACAACGCTTGCCGGGTCAGCTAGTATTTTCGTAATGTCTCATTCGGAATGTTTGTTTTCTCAAGCTACGGAACTGAGTTCAAATTGTTTTTAGACTTTAACCTTTCTTAGACGTTAGTCAGTGAAGGTATTATTAGAAACGTTAGGTAAAAAGAAAAAAAAAAAAAAAAAGGTTGAAAAAAATCGCTTTTCTAGAAAATCCAACTAAAAAATTATAAATCAATTTATTGTAAAAAAGGCGTGGGCTGAGCGTGTTTTTTTTTAACTCCTATTTATTTTTATACATAAATTATTCATTATTGTTTATTCACGCAAATACAACAATATCTAATTAGCTAAGCGAAAAAAAGAAGGCGCTCCAATTAATTTGTTGTTTTGACTGCCGAAAGTAAATAATAACGAGTCTAACTCTTTAAAATATTGAATTGTCATCGGTCCGCGATAACTAGGTAGGTACTTCGAATTTTTTGTTAATCCGACATTTTGAGGGGGTTCAAAATACATTCAAAGTTACATACATACATACATACTAACATGCGTCGATTCCGATCCGGTGGTAGATTCATTCGCGAAGCAGTTACTCTTGAGTTGTTAGGTCTCCTTTGAAGGCGCTCGGGCAGCTGTTAGCAAATCCCACACCTCCTGGCCGAGCCCTTGCTCGCTCACCTGTCCTGGTGAAACTAGAAAGGCCTCCGGGCTCCCTCACAATAAATAAAAAAAACTAACATGCATAAGAAAAAGGAGTTTAATTCTAGCTAAAAATTAGTTTTAGTTTTAATGTAAATCAAATCAAATCATTTTTTTTTATTCAACATAAATGAAAGTACATACTTGTTGAACGTCAAAAGAACTACCGCCAATTCACAAAAACTAACCTCCTGAGAAGAACTGGTAAGAAACTCAGCGGGCATGTTTTTTTTTTAAATATTAGTTTTATTTATTTAAATTTATTTTATTTTATGCTTATTGTACACACAAAGAAAATACAATCAAAACAGATTTAAAGACTGTCTAAATACTATGTACAAATGCGAGCTTAACTCATTCATGAGTTTCCTTCCAGCAAACCATTAGCAGAGAGAAATACGATGTATAAGAGGGGAATAGTGTACAATATAAAAGCTGTTATATTAGTTTTTTTTTAAATATTCATTTTTATAATGAGTATTATAACGTGACAATTTGATTCGTAATGGTTTGATTCTCACAAAGAGACCTTAAGAAAGCCCAATTGCCAAAACCGACAACCCAGGACAGATCAGCCTGGCGCCGTAGAGTGAGGAGACCCGACCCCAGATAACGGGAACGGAGACGGATAGTAGTAGTAGTAGGTTTGATTCTCGCATCTACTAGTTCGGCGTGGAAATCAGAACTTAATGATGTGGACTCCTTTACACGTGTTGGCTACTTTGCACTGTGCAATAATAGATGGCGCTGTTAGGTTTTTCTGAATCGCGCTATTGTTGCTACCAACGACTTTATATAAAAATGTAAAGTTTCTAAAACTGTGTACAAGGCAGTCTCTCTCGAGACTAACTTCCCGCTGCGATCAATGCTTATTGTGGCATTTCTCACAAATTAGTGGGCCACCTTTCCCAACTTCCACCCCAATCCTAGAATCCTAGCTGGCTGGTACAGCGCAGGGGGTCAATTCCAACCATAGATTATACACTTAATAAAATCCCAACTAAGAGGACTCGCCTTTCGGCGAGTTGGTTTAAGTCCTGGGGACGCCCGGCCCCCCGGGCACACAACCAACGATGAGTGACGCGAACAGCCCGCGATTCGTGCGGAAGTTCTGCCCGGACATTATGTCCCGCTTTGAGACCTACAAGGCCAGCTTAGGATCGAAATCGAACCCCGACCAGCGTTGCCAAAAATACGGCAATCACGCTTCCAAAAAGACAAATTGTACGGCAGAGTGGTCATTGCTGTATAGTGCCATACACCTATTAGGTTAAGTCGGCTAACAAGAACATGAAGTTAAAAAACAATTAATGTATCCAAAGAGATTACAGAACGTGGATACTTTTAGCGTAAACATGAACACATCCAACTCTTATAATAGACAATGTTTCATGTTTGGTACGAGGAATTCCCTATAATCTACAACGCCTGCTCTTTAAATCCTCTCCTCAAGTCGCCTCGCTCTTGTTTCATTGTTTGTACTAGCAAGTGTAGCTTAATTTTAACTTTTGAAAAAGTGCAGTTTAGCGATACGTGAGATAGTGATTAAAATGTGTATAAAAAAGAATCTTCAATGCAGTAAACCTAATCAAAACAAAACAAAGAAACCGCCTCTTAACATATACCATAAATGGAACTTTATTACCAAAACAGTGCATTGTCAGAAAGCATTCAAACTGTGCGAATTTTAAGCCAACCCCCGAAATGAATAATAAAATGAAAAAACCATCAAATAACGAAAAAAATGAGATTATTGAAACTGAACTTACTTTAGGCAATAATACAAATTTGATGGGAAGAGAGGAGTGAAAAATATATACTGTTTTAATTTCTAGTCTAAAATAAATAATAAAATACTTTTAATTGAAATTTGAAATTTTGGATTACTTTGTACGGCAATTTTTGTTTAAATACGGTAGATTTTTTTCTCCAGTACGACAACCCAATGTTTGCCCAGCGGCAACACTGACCCCGACGTATCGTCCGCCGCCGCCGCGATCATCCCTGAGTCGCCGCAGTCAAGGAGGACCTCATAGGGCAAGCGTACCCGATCGTAAGTGTGCACCGGATGCACAGCGGCCGCGACAGGTTTCCGTTTAACATGGTTCTCGTCGCGCTAGAACCAACCGCGGAAGGCAAACGGATTACCTCAAGCCTCAGTACCGTTTGCGGACTATCTGGGGTCACCGTCGAGGCCCCCTACAAAAAAGGCACTCCCGGTTAGTGCCACAGGTGCCAGCTCTATGGCCACTACGCGCGTAACTGCCACGCGCGTCCAAAGTGCGCGAAATGCCTCGGCGATCACGCGACAGCCGACTGTTCGCGGGTCAAAGAGACCGCGACAGAACCACTGAGCTGTGTGCTCTGCCAAAAGCAGGGTCACACGGCCAACTACCGCGGATGCCCCAAGGCCCCGCGGAAGCGCCTGGCCAACGCGCCCCCTAAAACCGTCGGCCCAAAGACTTCGGCGCCCCGCGCGCCGAAACCTTCATTCGTGCCGGCACCGGTGCCCACCGTCTCCGCGTGGGCTAAACCGCTGCCGCTCACGTTGGCAGGAAAACCACCGGCACCCCAGTCCCTGCTCGCGCCCCGCCCCGCCCCCGCGCCCCCCCGGCCCGCGCGCCCCCCCACAAACGTCTTTTCGTTCGTGCGTGAGATCGTTCGCGGAAGCCATTCGTAGGGAACTACGGCCGACGAACGGCTTACCGCGACCTTTGAACATATGGACGTTTACGAATCCATTCAGCGTACGCTCGTTTAATACCGGTAATCGATGGCGTACAACGGCAGGGAAAAACCCCTTTCTTTGAAGTTAGCATTTTACAATGCTAACGGACTAGCGCGTCAGCGCGACCAAGTTTATGAGTTTCTCCGCGATAATCTCATCGACATCCTTCTGGTGCAGGAGACCTTCCTAAAGCCCTCGCGTCGCGACCCCAAAGTCGCGAATTACGTCATGGTTAGGAATGACAGACTCTCCGNCGGGAATAATGGGAATATTGCCCGGACATAATGACGCGATTCCAGGCCTACAAACCCAGTCTTACAAGCCCAGTCTAGTACCGTACCCGCACGCACTGATCGCCGTCGCGCGAAGGTCCCTCTGGTACTCCCCGAGTCGCCGCTTTCCCCCCCACCCCCGCGCCCGCAGTATCTATCGCGTCCTCTGAGGCCGCTAGCTCCGGCTCCGACACCGAGTCGGAAATGGAGCACGAGTCCGCAACCCGGAACCTCGGATGGTTTCATAACCGTCGCACGCGGTAAGAATCGCGCCCGCGCTGTGGAATCGTCCACAGCATCCAAACAACCGAAGGCCGCGACGCGCTCGGTCGCTTCGTCAAACAGAATGCGTACTTAGCGCTGCGTTTTAACGTCGCGCTCTTTTCATGTCACACAAATTGACTAGATGAGCCCAACGCTCCTTGACGCAACGCCTTCGCCAAATCATAGTGCCTTTCGATACCAAAATTTGAAATGTGAAAATTTAAAAGTATTAAGATGTCGAGTGATTCAGATTTTTTTTTCCCTTCCTAAGTTGATAGCCTTGAGAGGCTATATCAGCGTCGCCTTAACTAGTAGGTGAGGTCACGGGGCTCAAACCTGACGACGCTGCTAACACGAACCCTAGCAAGAGCCGTGCTTCGCAGAATCTACCACCGGATCGGAAACGCGACCGGACAATTTACTCTCGATTTTTTTTCATGAACGAGATCCTAAGCAAATTGATAAAAACAAAAAATAAGTCATAAAAACGCTAAACGAAACGTTCACGAGCCAATACCATCTATTAATTTCCTCTTCAAATAAAACACAAATTAACTTTTAAAATCGTATATTACTTACAATTTCATTTCATAACAAATACACTACATTATTTACATTACATACTATTTATGTATAAACAAAATCGCTTAAATATAATTTAAAAAATACATACTTACACACTTTTACATCTCTATTTGTTTGTTACCAAATATAAGAAAAAAAAAAAGAACTTATCTGCCGTCATTATAAAATAATATCGAGGTTCTACGTATTTGATTTAAGCGCCATTTATCTTTATAATTAAAGGTCCAATTTGTTTGGTATCAGCATCAACAGTTTCATGTTTTTAATTGAACTTCAATTCAGCTTACTCCATTCAAATAGCTGAATAAGTTTTTTGGTTACAATGTTTTTTTCCAAATTTTATTCTTTAAATGGTTCTCCTGTAAAGTTGCAAAAATGTCGATTAACCTATCACCCTTCGATATATATATATATATATATATTTCCGTGTTTCGATACAACTTGAAACTGTCGATAGAACACTGGACCTATTGAATAAAATTATCGTATAATCATCGTATCGCATCGTATGATGCCCATAGATAATACACATAAATTATGCGGAGTTTACATTACGAAATTATTGTCATGCATGTTGAACTCAGTTTCACGAAAGTAGTTTCGATATATGCGAAAGTAATTTCGTTAAAAAATTTGTGTCGCGAAATCCACAGTATCTCAGTAACCATGGCGCCGTCAGCATCAAAGCTATATTTTACTATATTCAATGTAGCTAAAGAAATGCCTAGATACCTATAAACTTAAAAAAAGACTATCAAGAAAAAAAAAGTTGGTAGATTCGAGGATGGTCAACAAGAAGGCATTTAGGTGCAATGAAGTTAGTCTCTGAATTAGCAGATGAAGATCCTGAGAGTTATAAAAACTATTTTCGAATGAGTGAAGATAATTTTGATTTTTTACTGTAGGTGTTTCGGTACCCTTGTCATTGATATTCATTAATAAGATCTATATTTTTTTCTGTACTCCATCGTTGGTTTGCCATTTTCAAGGCTTGAAGCGCGTCCGAACTAACAATACACACATCCGCACAGCGCAGGCCCTTTCGCGACATTAGTTTCACGTCGCGTCTACACTATGAAATTAGTTGCATGACACTAATTTCACCAAAAAATCGCGCAGGGCACGAAACTAATTTGCATGCATGAAATTAATGCATGCATTACGAAAGTATTAAATTACACGTGAAACTGTTGGTAAAACTAATGTCACGAAATTAATTTCANGTCATAGCGCTCGGGAAACACCGAGGAGGGGAGCTCATTCCATAGCCGGATGGTACGTGGCAAAAAAGATCTCTGGAAACGCACTGTGGATGACCGCAGTGGCTCCAGGTAGTATGGATGAACTCTACTCCGGTGGCGGGCGGTGCGATGGTAAAAACGAGATGTTGGTATCATCTCGAACAATTCCTCAGAGCACTCCCCATGGAAGATACGGTATAAAATACAGAGGGAACCGAAGTCCCTCCGCAGACCCAGAGGCTCCAAACGATCCGAGAGAGAGAATGGGATTATCGACAATCCGAACGGCCCTCCTCTGTATGGAGTCAAATGGAAGAAGCTGGTATTTGGGAGCCCCGGCCCAGAGATGGGAGCAGTACTCCATGCGAGGCCGGACTTGTGCTTTATAAAGCAAGTCTTTGTCCAGGCGTGAAGTACCGCTTCGCTCTGTTGAGGACTCCCAGCATTTTGGACGCCAACTTGGCTTTGCCTTCCAAATGACTCCGAAACTGGACATCGCTCGAAACGTCGAACCTGTACCTTTCATAGAGTCATACATCTTTGGAGGTGCTTTGATGCGCATCGATCCTTAAGGGAAACAAAAGAAGACAAAGACAGCGTTATCTTAACTTTTATATTTTTCTAAAACTTCATTCATATTCTGAGACTTCTTGAAGGATTCGTTCCTTCGATCCATCATGCATAACACATAAACAGTTGACAGTTCACGAATGAACAGAAAGATAAAAGATGAAGAAGTAAATGTATTCGTAATGTATTATAAATAAGAATTTAAAAAATTGTGTCGGTACCTACCCTCAGCAGCGTACCATAATATCAGCGATTAAAATTAAAATTTCCACAATTCATTTTTCAATAAACATTTACATACATACATACATTATTTGGTATTTCTTTTTTTATTTATTACAAATATAATAAAACGTACCTACTTAATGTGTAGTTTAACTGAAAGAACTCAATTATGTTCATAATTAATTTATGATAACGAAATATTCGATATAGATAAAGTTAACGTATCAAATAAACATAAAAAAATACATGTCGTTTTTGTGTACCTTTTAAAGGGAGTATTCGTCTCACCACTCCGTCTCGCCGGTCTCACGAAATCATTCTTAATGATGTGACGTCATAGGATAACGAATTTAAAAGCTACACTTTTATGGGTAACGAACACGCGCTTCCACTAGTACGATGACGTCACTGACAATAAGCTCCACGCCGCAATACACGTACAGGCATGAGCTACCCGTCGCGGGTTCAGCCGTTGTCCACGAATTAATAATCTATTAGATATTAGCCACTGAAATCTGACGGAATTCCGTCACAAAAAAAAAAACACAAGCGAATTAAAGCCTTAACTACTCAAATCTGTTCTTAGAACGATTCAATATCGGTCCAGTTCTTTCTGCTAAATTATTTTAAATACTAACAACCGTTTCTTAGAAGAAAAACACTTCTTATATCTATCTATGTACTATGTACATATTTGTCTAACTGTAACTCTAACATTTCAATCAAGAATACGTTACTTTACATCTATTTTTGATCAGTTTATTGGTTTTATCGTCTTCGTAAAGCTCGTGTATGCCTAGACGACATGATTCTTACACAAATTCATAATCGTATTATGAATAAATAATTCAATGGTTTCTTTTATACAAAAAAAAAACATATTCAGATATTATAACCCATCGAATAACAATGAATTCCAGATGATTAAATAAATTATTATTGTTTTAATTACCAAAAAAAAAATTAAGAATTTTGCGCTGCTCACGTTGAATCCTAATATTGTCCTATTTTTATAAATGCGGGTTTGCGAGAACGGGTCATTCTTAGTCTTTCATGCAAAAACCACTACACGGAATTTAAATCACACATACATATATGTATAGTTATAGTAGTAGCCCAGTAATAAAAACAACTAAAGAAGCAAGACAAAAGTCCCTCTGTATGACGCGTTGACTAGTTGGAACAGCACCTCTAGCGGAAAACGTAGGCAAAGTTCCCAATCCATACAAATTTTAGTTAACTTTTACGCTATCGAGAACGTTAAAAAACTCGCACTAAACACGCTGGCCACATAGCACGAAGAGAGGACGGTCGATGGGGTAGAAAGATCCTGGAGTGGCGACCACGTACTGGCAAGCGCAGTGTGGGACGGCCACCTACTAGATGGACCGACGACCTAGTAAAAAGCGCTGGGTCTCGTTGGATGCAGGTGGCAATGGACCGGTCGCACTGGAAATCTATTGGAGAGGCCTATGTTCAGCAGTGGACGGCGATAGGCTGAAATGATGATGATGATGATNATGGGGCAGAAAGATCCTGGAGTGGCGACCACGTACTGGCAAGCGCAGTGTGGGACGGCCACCTACTAGATGGACCGACGACCTAGTAAAAAGCGCTGGGTCTCGTTGGATGCAGGTGGCAATGGACCGGTCGCACTGGAAATCTATTGGAGAGGCCTATGTTCAGCAGTGGACGGCGATAGGCTGAAATGATGATGATGATGATGAAAACACGCTGGCGATGTGATAGAGGATGGTTAACATTAGGAATCCTCAGGTTAGAGCCCCGTAGCCCACCTACTCGCTCAGTTACGCTGCCATAACCCCCTAGGTCACCAGCATAAGCAGAAACAAAAATTAGTCAGGAACTTGGGTCTTTTCGCTTGAAAGCAGACCTCGCTTTTTTTATGGCATTATGTCGGTAGTCATCATTCAACGCAAGATATTTGAGAGATGTCTGATTCTCGCTTACGACATTTTCAAGATAAGCTTGTATATACACAAGTTCGAACAACAACATTCGGACCGTCGGTCTACCGAGCAATCACACTCGCTCGGTGGAAGATCTTCCCTTTGTCGTATACCTACAGCATCACTCTTAGAAAGATTCTCCCGCATACACTTCATTATAAAAAAATATTGCTGTTGCTCTTTGAAAAAGGGCCCCCCCTTTTTCAAAGGACAGATCTCAATCTCTATTTTTTTAAGTGGTTACCGGAGCCCGTTGACATCAACAATGTAGACGTTAGTTTTATCGTACACCGAGTGCTCTAACGCATTATCTACTGCTACGCGGCAGAGTTAGGCAGGGTGGTGGTACCTACCCGGGCGGTCTCACAGGACGCACCAGTAACAAACTTTAACTTGTAACAGCATATGACCCGCCATTCCACGGGGTTGGACAATTTTTTTTTTTTTTGGTAATCAATACATCAGTGGCGTGACGTTTGAAGCAAATAAATTTTATTTACCAAAATCAATTGTTTTATTGCTTATAATTAATTATTGACTATGTATGATCATCCTCGTGGATCACTGCCGTCTAAACGACAAAGACATTTAAAAAAAATTAGGTATTATATCGCACCTTTCAAATTATAGAGACCCAACCCAAAAAATGTGTTTTTTTGAAAAACATCGAATTTTTTTATTGCTTAGTTGGATGGACGAGCTCACAGCCCATCTGGTGTTAAGTGGTTACTGGAGCCCATAGACATCTACAACGTAAATGCGCCACCCACCTTCAGATATAAGTTCTAAGATCTCAGTATAGTTACAACGGCTGCCCCACCCTTCAAACGAAACGCATTACTGCTTCACGGTAGAAATAGGCAGGGCGCTGGTAGGCAGATGTAGAGGAAGGGGACGGAATGAAAGAGACCGACAGATAAGTTTGTCTCTTTACAAGCCACTTTTGGACATTTGATTATTAAGAGTCACTGAAAGGGGTCGTTATAGGTCCATTTTTTTTAAATTAAAGTCGAAATACAAAAAATTCCGAAATTGATCTCTGTAATTCTAAAGGTGCGATATATTAATTAGGTGTTATATATTATAATAATTTGAGAGCCACTGGTCAAATCGATTTTAAACGAAAATCGATTCTATTTTCGCGTCTATAAAGTCGGAATTTTTTTGCTCTATTATTTAATTTAACTAAACAAAGTAGTACAGGGGATATAGATAGCGCCACCAGCTAACAGATGTCTCGTCATCCGACCGATCGCCATCTTGTTCCGTGGATGTCTGCACGGCCTATAATTTAAAACCTTTAATTTCAATTTCAATTCCATTAAAAACCATCAAAAGTATAAAATACGAACACATCGTTAGAAAAAGTGACAAGCATCAACATGTATTAAAGATTATTTTACCAACGGTACAATTAGTAGGGCTAGCCGTGAGCAATGGGTCGTCTCTGTCCCTGGACATTACTTATGAGCAACGGTGACCATTCACCATCATATGGGCCGTATGCTCGTCTGCCTACAATGGCAATAAATTTCGTATTAAAATTCAATTTTTTGTTTGTTTTGCCAACCGTAGTGTTTTACATACAAAAAAGTAGGAATATGAGAGAATTATGGAATCACTGAACTAGTCTCGAACTGGCCCTACATTCCAACGCACTGCCTCTAGTAAAATATATCGAGAGGTGAAAGGCTTTTTTGTCTAAGTGACATTTTTGCAACTTTACACGAGAGCCATTTAAAGTTTGAAATTTGGAAAAAATATCATATCAAGAAAAAACTTCTTCAGCTCTTTGAATGGAGTAAATTTAATTGAAGTTCAATTAAAAACATAAAACTGTTGATGCTGATACCAAATAAAACGGGCCTTTAATTACAAAGATAAATGTCGTTTAAACCCCCCCTATCCTTTCAACCCTCGATATTTAACTTAATACTACCGTAGCCGCTTAACACCAAACCGAAACGCATTACTGCTTCACGGCAGAAACAGGCAGGGTGGTGGTACCTACCCGTGCGGACTCACAAGAGGTCCTACCACCAGTAATTAAGCAGTAATTTTGCGAGTTTGATTTTTATTACACAATGTTATTCCTTCACCGTGGAAATCAATCGTGAACATTTGCTAAGTACGTATTTGATTAGAAAAATTGGTACCCGCCTGCGGGATTCGAACACCGGTGCATCGCTTCAACACGAATGCACCGGACGTCTTATCCTTTAGGCCACGACGACTTCATAATCAGTAGTATGTATAAAGAATAGCAGTAGTGAATTAAAATTTATCGCTCACCTTACTAACACGAGGTCCACTCGGCTTGTCCGCATTAATTCTCGACTTAACATCGGGTGGGTCGTCGTCGGTCTGTGTGCTCTGATCTCGGGTTTTCGTCTCCTTGTTTCCATTCAATTCTGGACCTTGTTTCGATGACTATAAGGAATACACAATTTCGTTTTGTTTATTCACCCATAGCTAAGCCAATACACGAGGAGTTTGAAGGTTCTCGTGGCTTAATAAGACACCCAGAGTACTGGCGGTAGGACTTCTTATGCGCCCATACGGGAAGGCACCACCACCGTGTCTATTTCATGTTGGGTCAACCGTTGTACTATAGAAATAGGACTCATGTCTCAAGTTGGACGGTGGTATTTTCGGTGTCGTTGTCTATGGACTCCGATAACCGATTTTTTTGTATTGCTTATATGGGTGAACGAGCTCACCGTCCACCTGGTGTTCGGTGGTTACTGGAGCCCATAGACATCTACAACGTAAATGCGCCACCCACATTGAGATATAATTTTCTAGAAAAGCGTATTTTGTTATTTTTTTAAACTATTATTTAAATTTCATTTTTTAGTTGAATTTAAATTATTTCAATTTTTTTTTAATTTTTTTTTTAAATATCGAATTGTCATCTGGTCCTTAATAATTATACCAAATTTCGAGTTAATCCGACGTTTTGTAGGGGGTCAAAATCATGTTCAAAGATTCCGTTACATACTAACATACATACGTCTGAAGCTAATTATTCTGTCTGAAGCTGATTTCATTTATTCAGAGTATGCCAGCAGAAAATAAAATCAGACATTGCATTAATGATTTCATGCAGACAATTTCTAATGTTAATAATTATTATGTCATGACACAATCAGAAATATATTTTATACTATTGACATTAATTGCATGATAAAGAATAAATGTATTATTATGACAAAACCTAACAAATTCTATTTAGGTAGCTACAATTTTAGACAAGTAGCAAACTCGCTACATTATTTTTTACACATTTATCTAGCCATGAATTTGGCTAATCAACCTACTGCTTCTTTTGAGCAGAAAAAAAATATGACANTATTTATTTAAAAAAAAGAAAATATTTGAGAAAAAACAAAAAAAAAAAGCCCGCTGAGTTTGTTTCGCCGGTTCTTCTCAGGACTGTGGCTTTTTTTGGAACCGGTGGTAGAGTTAACATTGTTATTTGTATTTTGACATTCAACAAGTGTGTCATACTGACATCTAAGTTGAAATAAATGATTTTGAATTTGAATTTGAATTTGAATAAAATCGTATTAAAAAAAAAACCTAACCTCCATATCCTCTTCGTTGACTTGAGGCTCCTTCTCGACGGTTACGTTCGAGACTTTGCCCGGTACGAAATCAGGGAGATCCTGGAAAGAAAAATTCCCTTACTCTAAGCCCTCCCTAGTAGGGCTTCCCGTGACTACAGACAGTCCCACCGATTGGAAATTCCATAGCCGGTCCAGACTGTCGGGGCTCGATCAATCATTGCTCGGCGCTGCTAAGGGTCATGTCTTCAGGGTGGCAGACGAGCTCACAGCCCACCTGGTGTTAAGTGGTTACTGGGGCCCATAGGCATCTACGACGTAAATGCCGTCACTCACCTTGAGATATAAGTTCTAGGGTCTCAAGTATAGTTACAACGGCTGCCCCACCCTTCAAACCGAAACGCATTACTGCTTCACGGCAGAAATAGGCAGCGCAGTAGTACCTATCCGCGCGAACTCACTAGAGGTCCTACCACCAGTTGAAGGCATGAATGCTTTTTATTTAAAGGGTTTTATGACCTGGTAACCTTTAAGTCAAGTCTTATTTTAATTTTAATTAAAATTGCACAATCACTTCACTTCAATATTAAATTATTTTTATACCGTTTTTAATATATTTATATATCAGTTTGCATGAATGCGATGAATCATCAGACTAAATAGAGAGTCAACAACATCAGAGTGCTGATCGACTTTCCACCCCACAATCTATTTATCTGAATATTCGAATACAGCACCCAGCAATATCACATATCGTTCTTTAGAAAGAGACAATCGGCTATTCTCGGCTTCGTATAGCGTCATCTCTGTCGCACGAAACACTAAAAGCCAACAGTAACAACGTCTGGTTTGAGCCCCGCGAGCTCACCTATTCGCCCGGTTACGCTGACATAGCCTCTCAAGCCTATCAGCTTAGGTAGGATAAAACAAAAACTGACAAATTGAAGTTGAACGAAATCACTTTTTTTTTCCTACCTAAGCTGGTGGTAGCCTTGAGAGGCTATTCCAGCGTAACCTTAACTAGTAGGTGAGCTCACGGGGCTCAAACCTGACGACGTTGCTAACACGAACCCTAGCAGGAGTCGTGCTTCGCAGAATCTACCACCGGATCGGAAACGCGACCCACTGAGAAGATCCGGCGAGAAACTCAGTAGGCTGTGTCTGAGGGAGCTAAGTCTAGCACATATGGAGTTCATCTATCAATGATTACCGTACCTGCTGGTCCTCCACGGCGGTGCGCTCTCTGTAATTCATCGCGGCCGTCCTCATCCTCTGCAGGTATGCGGGAGCCGCCCGCCCCGTGGCCCACGCCGCTACCCCTGTGGGCAACCCGCCCACGGCTGGCTCGTCATAATACGTCAACACAAACTCCATCCCTGTCTGCGGTCAACATAACAAATCAAGCCTTCGTGTACGAGGAATGCTGTACTACACATCAAGGGATGAACGGTAATTTGGTTCAAGCGCCATTTTGATGTGTGGACGAGTTCACGGTCTATATGGTGTTAAGTGGTTACTGGAGCCCACAGACATCTATTTTTTTTTTCTACCTATGCTGATAGCCTTGAGAGGCTATTTCAGTTTCACCCTAACGTTTGTAGGTGAGCTCGCGGGGCTCAACCGGAGAGTTGCTAACACTGACCTTAGCAAGAGCAGTGCTTCGCAGAATCTGCCACTGGATCGGAAACGCGACCCACTGAGAAGATCCGGCGAGAAACTCAGTGGGCTGTGTCTATGAGTTAATTCGCTCGTCGAGCCCTTCGTCGCAAGCGATGGGTTCGACGAGGACGGTGACCGGTGCTTGTGGTGCCTAAAAGCACCACAAAGTTAATGGATCATGACATCTATAACGTAAGTGCCCCCAACCAAGTTGAGATATAAGTTCTAAGGTCTCAGTATAGTTAAAACGGCTACCCCACCCTTCAAGCCGAAACGCATTACTGCTTCACGGCAGAAATAGGCGGGGCGGTGGTACCTACCCGCGCGGACTCACAAGAGGTCCTACCACCAGTAACATATGTAATATTTTTACCGGACAAGACTTACCTGGTCGACTCCGTTCAGTGTCTTGATGACCATGTGACTCCAGTACTCGGAGACCCTGATGGCATTCTTGGTCTCCGGTACGTTGGGATGCTCGCAGGACTTCGACACTATTATGTAGACCTGATCAAGAATCGGGGAGGCATTTTCAATGAATGTGTTAATGAATGAATTAGAAAATTTTTGTTGCTTTTATCACTCAGGCTGACGGTCCCCCTGCTGGTTTATAGAGTCCATTGGCATCACCAACATAATGCCATCACCCGCCTTGAGACGCGAATACCAAGTCTCAACTGTATAGCAGAGCGGTTGCCTCACACTTTAAACCTATTTCTGCTGACTTCGCCGCAGAAATAGACGGATTGATGGTACCTACGCGTGCGGGCGCATTAGACGCTCTCCACTAGTAAATATTCGATATCCACTGCTTCAGGAATTCAAAATTTTGGTTTGTGTTGCCTAGATATGTGGACGAGCTCACAGTCCACCTGGTGTTAAGTGGTTACTGGAACCCATAGACATCTACAACGTAAATGCGCCACACACCTCGAGATATAAGTTCTAAGGTCTCAGTATAGTTACAACGGCTGCTCCACCCTTCAAACCGAAACGCACCACTGCTTCACGGCAGAAATAAGCGGGGCGGTGGCACCTACCCGCGCGGACTCACAAGAGCTCCTACCACCAGTAATTACGCAAATTATAATTTTGCGGGTTTGATTTTTATTACACGATGCCACTCCTTCACCGCGGAAGTCAATCGTGAACAATTATTAAGTACGTATTTCATTAGAAAAATTGGTACCCGCCTGCGGGATTCGAACACCATTGCATCGCTAGATACGAATGCACCGGTCACCGGACGTCTTATCCTTTAGACCACGACGACTTCGTTACTGTTTCACGGCAGAAATAGGCAGGGCGGTGTTACCTACCCGCGCGAACTCACATGACGTCCTACCACCAGTGTTCTCACATCAGCGCTTTACTTTTTTTCAACAAGATCCCACAAAACGTTCAATTACTACCTGTTCATAGATTTAAGAAAACTGTCAAGGAACGTTTGTGCAACAAGGCATATTATAAAGTTAAGGATTATTTACTAGATGGCACTACGTGGGAATGAGGCGTTCGCTCCTGGCCTTTTCATTTTTCATTATTATTATTTATTTATTTTAATTGTATTTTTTGACTTGTTTTTTCGTATATTGTAAATATTTTAGTTAATTAAAAAAAACAAATTTTTTTTGGAGAAAAAACAAAAAAAAACCCGCTGAGTTGGTTTCGCCGGTTATTCTCAGGACATTCAACAAGTGTGTTACTCGTATACTGACATCTAAGTTGAAATAAATGATTTTGAATTATGTATTACAGTTTTGAAGTTATACTTCTTTAAGCGCGTTATGAAAAATTGATAAGAGTGAAATGTTACGATGCGCGCGCACCGTGACACAAAATTAACAGAATGAAGTTGCCCACTAAATTGCTCATTACAATACGATCGACGTAACTTAGCGAGTCTGAATATAGCCGCAGGTGAACTTTCGCGTATGTACACTCGTGAAAAAAAGTTATTAGCATTAATTTTTTAGTAATATAAAAATGACAAAATTATTATTTAATATAATTCATACTAAATATTAATAAATTATAAACGTTAAATATTTATTATTAATTATTTAATATCAAAAAAAGAAAGAAAGAAATTTAATAAAAATAAAGTATAACTTCTTACACGCACCCTTTTTTTTCAAAGACCACCATCCTAAAACGACATACCTTATTGTTTTCGATCCTGGGTTTCGTTCTAGTCACGAATTTCTCGGCCTCCAGCGCCCTCCTCTTGGCGTTCGAGTGGACGCTCGTCCTTTCATCACTGGACAGTCTCTTCTTAATCTCCTCGTTAAATATAACCTCCTTATGAGGATCGCTTTTCGATTTAACATCGAACTCCTTGTGCCTACGTATGTATACGTAATCTCGATTCGCGAACAATCTCTGCGGAATTCGGGTAATTGAATAACGATTCTGACGGAAGACCAGGGTCACGCAGTCCCCGTGTGCGGTGCAGAGTACTGCAGAGTGCACACGGGCGACAAAACAAAAAAGTGTGTGTGCAGTCACACAGTCACACACCATAGAAGTGAGACTTATAAAAAAAAAAATCGTAAGGAAAGGTCAACCACTCCGCAGTGCAATGGATGAACCTCAGCATGGGAGGATCGCCTGCATGATCACGGTGTCCCTACACCAGGCAATTATGGTTAGTAAGAGAAATACAAGAACGTCTATCAACTGTGTAACATCTCTTCACCGCGATTCAGGAATTGTTCAATTTACGTGCAGCGACATCTGTTGATAACAAACTAAATAGAAATATTTGTAAATCATCTTTTATAGTATGAGGTAGCGCCCTCTGTGAATTGACATTTTAACTTCACGTATAATGTGTTCTATCTCATTCTCTCGCCGGCTGAAGCCTATACATTTACGTGTTTGTGTCTCTATGGACTTATTTTTTCGTTTCATCGAGTTTGAAAACACAACAATTCTAAAGAAGTTTCACTTCAAAAATACATTGAAACATGAAGATTCGTTAAAATAGGGGGCGCTTCATGGATTTCGCACACAGGGTCTGCGCGAGCCTGCTGGAGACGACCGGCAGATAGTAAGTTAGTACTTTTTTTTTTATTGCTTAGATGGTTGGACGAGCTCAAAGCCCACATGGTGTTAAGTGGTTACTGAGATATAAGTTGAAATATAGATTCTAAGGTCTCAAGTATAGTTACAACGGCTGCCCCAAACCGAAACACATTACTGCTTCACGGCAGAAATAGGCGGGGTGGTGGTACCTACCCGCGCGAACTCACAAGAGGTCCTACCACCAGTAAAGTATCGTATAGTAGTATTCCACTGACCGGCCACAGGACCTCCCAGTGGAGCACGGCCTGGCCGGGGACTCCGTTCGCGTCCCTCTCGACCACCGACAGCGACGCGACGGCCGTGTCCCAGACTGTCCGGTAGGCGCCGTCGACTTGAACGGCAGCGAAGTCCTCGGCCCTCACTTCCCTGTACCTGCCGTACACTGCAATGGAGCAACTCTTCAAGCAGAACGGTAAGACGAACAGGAAAAAACACCCAGGCTTATATCGTCTTCTCGCATTAAAACTCTATAATCTCATAACTTACTAATTTTACAGGAGAGTGTTTGAAAGGTGATTGCAAGCAGCAGAGATGCGAATGTTGCGATGGATGTGTGGAGTAACGAGAATGGATAGAAAACGGAATGAATATGTTAGAGGAAGTCTGAAAGTGGCACCAGTGACAGAGAAGCTGAGAAGTGCGCGTTTGGGACGGTATGGAAATGTGATGAGACGAAATGAAAATGGGGTTGGTAAGAAAATGTTAACTATGAATGTGGAAGAATATAGAGGAAAAGGTAGACCTAAGGAGAAATGGATGGATTGCGTGAAAGACGATATGGGTAAGAGGGGAGTGAGCGAAGAAATGGTATATGATAGAAGAGTATGGAAGGAGAAAACATGTTGCGCCGACCCCAGGTGACTGGGAGAAAGGCAAGATAATGATGAGTGTTTTAAAGGTTTAAAATGTGATATTTTTAATATTAATCATCTTTACAACTTCTTTTTTACCAGTTACATTATCTGTATTTTAAAGTAAGATAAAATTATGACGTATTAATTATGTTAATAGTAGTCAAAATATAGGTAAACAAAAAAAAAAAAAACTAAAACTAAACTACGCTCTTTTGACAGTATTTATGAGAAAAATACTGGTGATACCAAATGAATCATATTAACTCAATTTCGAATATTTTTGGAAATTGTACACTTTTAATGCGAAAAGACGATATCTCATTTAAAGTATGTGTTCTTATCTTATCCGTTACCAAGGAAAATATGTTCATTAATACATTTTTATTGCATAAATGAACGGATGAGCTCACAGCCCACCTGGTGTGCTTACCGGAGCCCATAGACATCTACAACGTAAATGCCGCCACCCACCTTAAGATATAAGTTCTAAGGTCTCAGTATAGTTACAACGACTGCCCCACCCTTAAAACCGAAAGGTATTACTGCTTTACGGCAGAATTAGGCAGGGTGGTGGTACCTACCCGCGCGGACTCACAAGAGGTCCTACCACCAGTTCGAATTCAGAGTCGATGTTTAATAATCTATATGATATATGATTGGGTTTTTGATGGGCGCGCAGTGAAATGCAAACAATGAAGCAGCCGACGGGTCAACGAACTCGGAGGGGCTCAGTTGCTTCGCTTTACATTGCGGGCTTACGAAGCATGAACTCGCTAAAACTAAATTAATTGTTAATTTTAGTAAATAAATATGGGTGTTATTTACTTAAATGGTTAGCATAGTATTTGTATTTTTGTGCGTAGAATATTATAATCTGTGAGCAGAAATAGCTAACTGATCAGCAACTCATGGCCAGCAAACATTTCAAAATCAGTCAGCAATTTATGTCATTCGGGATGGCTGTAATAGTTTTTGTACAGCATATTAAATTATATAAGCTGCAAAGATCTGCTCCTGTTTAATAAAATTTGGTGCCTGATTTTTTTAATTGCAAAGAAAATCTTTGCATGCCGACCAAAAAACAGTAATGAAATAATCATTGCTGTTTTTTGGTGGCTCACCAAATTTTATAATTACTAAACATTTCATTACTTCTCAATAAATATATGCCGCCGTCTTTAGGCTTTTCATATGTTTTGGTAATCAGTGGTCTCCTCACACAGTGTAAGCTTATTAATGCCGTGAAGTAGTAACACGTTCCAGTCTGAACGGTAAGGCACAGGTTTTGTACTATACTGGTGGTAGGACCTCTTGTGAGTCCGCGCGGGTAGGTACCACCGTCCTGCCTATTTCAGCCGTGAAGCAGTAATGCGTTTCGGTTTAAAGGGCTGGGCAGCCGTTGTAACTATACTTGAGACCTTAGAACTTGTATCTCAAGGTGGGTGGCGCATTTACGTCGTAGATGTCTATGGGCTCCAGTAACCGCTTAACACCAGATGGGATGTGAGCTCGTCCACCCATCTAAGCTATAAAAAACACAACGACGTCCACAAGGCCACTGGCCCTCTACGTGTATAATCCATAAGACGCTTTATCGTATGTACCTTTGTACGCGTATAGACCCTGGCCGGGCTTGTATTCCTTGCGCCAGATGATGACGTCATCGGCCTCCATAAACGGGCTCCAGCCGTCCGACTCGAGGCTCGTCTGAGCGTCCTTGCAACTGCAATGTTCGAACGATGCTTATTTACAATTAGAGAACTAACTGTTTTTACGGTTTAATCTCACTGAAATTAAACGCGAAATTCTAGAAATAATCTTTATAGAAAAATAGAGGGTAGTCTATTTGGTTTTAGCGAAATTTCGCTTAATATCCGACATTTATCTTTATAATTACACTAACGGCTCACTCCGAGTCCGCTTGGGTCTTTAACAAAAATTTCAACAACAGTTGACGATGTTTAATTTTTTTAAATAAAAGAACTCCTATTGCGGCATAACTATAATAGTTAGACATATGTTGTCGTAACACTTTTTGTAAATAATAATGTGTTCTACAAAGTCGTAGTACATTATTTTATTCTATCATCAATAGTTTTCGCAGGGCACGCGATTTAAAGAATATTTTGCGTAATTTTTTTACACCTTGGGTTACATTATTGGAGTTTTATTAATAAGGATCCCTAATTTTTTCAAAAAAGATTAAATCCATTATCAGCAGCAAAGAATTTTTCAAATCGGTTCAGTAGTTTCGGAGCCTATTCAATACAAACAAACAAACAAATCTTTCCTCTTTATAATATTAGTATAGATTTATAATATTTAAAAGGTGCGTTTCCTTTGGTATTAGCATCAACAGTTCGATGTTTTTAATTGAACTTCAATTAAGTGTACTCTACTCAAATAGCTGAAGAACTTTTTTACTATGATACCTTTTCCAATTTTTAAACTTTAAATTGTTGTCCTGTAAAGTTGCAAAAATGTCGCTTAAACCAAATAGCCTTTCATCTCTCGATATAACTTTTTTTTTCGTTCTACCTAAGCTGATAGGCTAGCCTATTTCAGCGTAACCTTAACTAGTAGGTGAGTTCACGGGGCTCAAACCTGACGACGTTGCTAACACGAACCCTAGCAAGAGCAGTGCTTCGCAGAATCTACCACCGGATCGGAAACGTGACCCACTGAGAAGATCCGGCGAGAAACTCAGTGGGCTTTTGACAGTTCGCAACTAGACTTTACTTCCGCAAAATGTTTAGTTAAGGCACGGAATATTACTTATTATCTAACCTTGTCAGAGACGAGTAAACATTTTTAAAACACAAGGCTACAAAAATATGAGGCCGTCGCGTCGGCGCAAAAGTGGCCTAAGCTTATAGTTTTATGGAGCAATCAGGTTTAAGTTTTAATGAATTTGAATTTGAGTAGGCAAAAAAACAATACGCTCAAAAATAATGTTCGCAAAGCCCTCTATTATCTATGGTTGAAACTATGGATTGGCAGGTTTTACATCAAAATTTATTAAATTTTAAAGTCTTGCTAGGGTTCGTGTTAGCAATGTCATCAGATTTGAGCCCCGTGAGCTCACCCACTAATTCGGCTAATCTAGAATAACGCCTCGAGGTTACTAGAATAGGCAGGGAAAAAAAAAACTGTCAAAGAGCCGCGTTTTGCCTACACTTTGTTTTTTAATAGGTACGCTTTTATTAGCTTCAGGCGTATGTATGTTAGTATGTAACGGAATCTTTAAACATGATTTTGAGCCCCTTCAAAACGTCGGATTAACTCGAAATTTGGTATACTATTAAGGACCCGATGACAATTCAACAACAATAAAAAATTGAAAAAAAATTTATGAAGAAATCGGAATTCAACTAAAAAATGAAAAATAAATAATAGTTTAAAAAAACTAACAAAATTTCGCTTTTATAGTTTTTTTTTTTATTGCCCTTGTAGGCAGACGAGCATACGGCCCACCTGATGGTGAGTGGTTACCGTCGCCCATGGACTTCAGCAATGCCAGGGGCAGAGCCAAGCCGCTACCTACCGACAGAAAATCCAACTAAAGAATAGAAAATACTTTTCAGGATATTATCAAAATAACCCTTCTACTCATATCTGTTCATAAAATATTTATAACTACTGATACCATGCACCCCACGCTTTTTTTACAATAAGAAAATTTTTTCTTACACTATTTTTAATTCAAATTTATTAAGATTTATTTTCCTTTCTTTAGTTGGATTTTTATAAAAACATAATATTTTGTTAGTTTTTTTTTAAACTATAAATTTTTACTGTTAATCACTCACACACAATACTGAATGCCCGGGTGTTTCTTGTCGATGACAAGACGACAGCCGCAGCCGACGCAGAACAACGTCCTCCGCGAGAGCTCCTCGATTCCGTCCAGTTCAGTTATTAATGCCTGCACACATTATTCTCATTTTGATTTCATCCAAAGCTTTTATACACATCTAGCCGTACTCGCCCGCATCGCTACGCATTTAAAATTAACATTATTATTTATTGTCATTACTAGCTGACCCGGCAGACTTCGTAGCGCCTCAATCGATAAATAAAAGACCTAAACTTTTGTATAATATAAACTTAAAACAAACAAAAGGAATCCGTCCCACGGTGGGCACATCAAAGAAAAAAAAAGTTATTTATATTTAATTCCGAGCATTTTGATATTTATCTACCTTTAAAACCTTTTTTGGACTTTCACAAATAATTCAAGACCAAAATTAGCCAAATCGGTCCAGCCGTTCTCGAGTTTTAGAGAGACTAACGAACAGCAATTAATTTTATATATATAGATAGATTATTAGGGAGTCCAACACTCATATAAATTAGCCTATCCATTAAGTGCGTGTTCTACATGGATACCAAGTTTTCAGTCAATCAGATGCATGGTTCAGTAGTTATAATGGAACATCCGTAAAGACCACTGTAGATTTATATATTAGTATAGATAGCACATACCATACACATCAATGAGTTATAAAACAAATCTTAACACATTGAGCCCTTTTCGACTCACCAATGGGCCTAGCGTACTATACCATTAGGGCCAAGCCAAAATCAGGGAATCAGTCATTTTTATCAACTTGAAATTTTCATTCTAAAATTTAGAAAATGCGATAATTTGCACGGAAGAAAAAAAATAGCCACTTTTACTGTCAATTTTTAAGATATTTTAAAAGGCTAGGATATTTATTTTTATTTTATTCCTTGATAAAAACTACAAGTTTCTATTGGATATGAAAATCACACTATTCACAAACGTAAACAGCATTGATTTCCAGACACTCTTGCATTGATGATGTGCTGTGATTGTAGAGTATGCAGTCTTATCTGGTCACAAAGCTGGTCAAGGTGAACAAAGCTATTCAGTTGTAATGATGTCAATGGACTTATGTTAACAATGACCATTTTACCTGATCGAGGTCGCGAGCTTATCTGCCAATCCTCATATTATGATAAAAATTCCTTTGTCTCAAAAATAAGTTTAAAACAAGATGCCCTTGAAGTTTATTACAATGTCCCTGAATGTGTGGCAAAGATTAAGCAGATTCAAAGTAAACCTCATTATCAGCTTGTGCATAAACATTTCTTGCTGTATTTAAGTTGATTCATGAGTTGTTGATTGCATGGGAGTGGCCACTGTTGAAGTAGGTGGCTTCTCCAATGGGTTACTATTGTGGCTGCCAGTATAATAATATACATTAATGACTCCTGAGATGGTTCTCAAAGATACCTCTCATCCATATGTACAATAGTAAATTTTCACAGAACTTTCTTTTACCATATTTCTGATGATGTTTCAAAATTCCATACATTTTATTTCTAGCCCACGGACATCCACTGCTGGACATAGGCCTCCCCAAGACTCTACAATAACTGGTCCTGCAAAGCCTTATGGGAGACATGACCATGCTATGTTTGCCAATGCACAGTCGCCATCTAATTTAAAGTTAGCAGGGAAACTCAGAGCAGTAGATCCTTCTCTATTGGTTATTGAATGACTTTGAGCCATCTGATAAGGTCAGAGACCACATCTCATGTTATCACTGGCACATGCTGGTCCAGACTTCTGCCTAACAACAATGCCGTATTTGGGACCAAGCTATCAATGAGTATTTGCATGATTATGAATTTATGTATAATATATACTATTTTTTATAATAACAGAGGTAATTTTGTTATAATTTTTATTTTATTTTTTATAACACAAACTTTAGAAGCTTAAAGTTATTAATGTAATTCATAACCTTCTTATAAAATTCATAATTATCATAATCTAATAAATAATTTCATAATTATCTTATAAGAATATACAACCAAATCTAAGACTCGATATAATAACAGTCCTCTGTAAAACTGTGTCCCTAAGCCTAGTTCATTTTGTATGTGGATGGCAGAGATCTTCCAAGCATCAACTTGCTTCCTAGAGGAAGTCAGCCAGTTGCCTCATGGAGAAACATCACGAACCCAATCTCAGTGTCAAGATGCCTCAACGTTACTACCATAACGATAACATGTAATGAAATGATAATTATATGTTACAATTTGGGTTTGCATTCAGAATACTATTATGTTTTATTTATATAAATAATTGTTTACTCTATATTTACCAACGACTTTTTCGCCCTTGACATTTACAAGATGGGTATTATTATCGAATTGTTACTCAATAAAGTTACCTCCAAATCTTCATCGGATATGCTGTTCTCGCAACTATCTGGTGTCTCGTCGTCTCCTCGATGGTATGCAGCCGTGGCAGAGAGGAGCAAGGTCCTTCGTGGCCTCAAGAATGTTTGACGAAAACATTGAAGAACATCCCTCACACTTCGATCCCGCCGACACCGCTTAACCATATGACTCAAAAAATAGCTACGAGTCCACACATTCCATAATCTATACACACCGATGTCTTTAAATATCCTGAAACGGGACATATTTTCAGGTACACAAAACCTTTTAATGAGAAAATTGTCCTGCCCGCGGCAGACGCATCTTTTGAAAATAGATTGTGATGTTATAAAGTATTGACAGATATCGGACTTCGTTCTGCATCGATTTAGTTATTCTCATGTGTTTGATATTACTACATAACATCCCGTGAGCGATTGCGAAATCTTTATCATTTTATAACCTAAATTTAATGTCAGAAGTACGATTAATTTGACATTTCAGTTCACTGTCATGTAATGTCAATGTCAAGATCGGAATTTTTTTTTGTTCAGCACAAGAGCTCGATCGATACTACTCGATACGAAGCAAGATGTCTAACACGATAGTCAAGATCAGACATAATAGTATCAGCTGTACCCTATTTCATTACTTTAAATTACTGAAAGTTACGATTCATTTTTCATAACCGATAAGAAAATGACTGAGCAAAAATAGGTTGCTAAGTTTACGAAAAATAAGTTATATCCCCAAACTAAATAACTACCATAAACTTCAATCACTAATGATTGCTTACTGAAGTTTTTAGAGATTACTCCTTTATATCAACGATATGTCCACTGGTAAACTTGTTTTTGCTCTTCATATTATTATATGCTTCGTATAAAAGGTGATAGACATACGACCAAGTATGCGTTTGTCTATATTTTTTCGTCTATAGCCTTAAGTATGTCTATTTTAAAACCGCCATGCAAATCGTTGGCGATCCGGCTGGTTTAAAAGTTTGTTCATAGCTCAACTCAGTTCGTACGTGTGGTAACATTCTGAGTCTTCTACAGTTTCTCCAGCCCTGTCTGTGGATGTACTTAGTCTGGCCATAAATACTGTAACAATTAAAAAAAAAAAAACTATTGCAAATAACATTACTTTTACACTGTGTTAGTTCAATACATAAATATAAAATAGTATAAATAGTATAAATAACAATTTAAAGTATAAAAAGCTTATTCGAAGTGGTCTCCATTGGCTGCAATACAGTCCTTTAAACGTTGAGGCCAGTTATCAATAGAAGCAGGTACTCTTTCCATGGGAAAATTTTTCACTGCCAATCGTACGGATTGTTTTAGGGACTCCAAGTTATCATGGCGTTTAGAGCAAGCCGTACTCTCTAAAACTGATCATAAATCATAATCCAGCGGATTAAGATCGGGATTAGACGACGGCCAGTCTTCAGCTCTGATGAAGTCCGAAACGTTCGTTTCCAAACAAGACTGCGTAGACCGAGCTTTATGACCTGGCGCCGAGTCTTGCTGGAAGGACCATTCTTGATTTTTGAACATGGTGTTGTTAAGGGGCTTCACTACCTTCTCAAGAATGGTATCTTGATACACTTGTGCCGATGTTTTGATACCTTCATCACAAAAGTATGGCCCAGTCACTCCTTCATAGCTAATACCCCACCAAACCATCACTGAAGTCGGATAGTGCCCACGTTGCACTCTGTCGACTAATTGGGAAGCTTCCTGAGAGCTTTGAGCATAAATACGGTCATTTGGTTTGTTAAAATGTTGCTCAATTGTAAAAATTTTCTCACCCGTAAACAAAACTTTTCTATGACCTCCCTTTGCGTACCGCTTCAGTAGTTGTTTCGATTTTACCACCCTATTCTCTTTTAAATTATCAGTTAAGAAATTACCAGTACGTCTCTTATAGGCTGCAAGTCCTTAGTCATCTTGAATGTTCTTGAATTTGGTTCGGTGAGAAAATTTCTCATCATTTGATTCAGAAAAAAATTAAAATGCATGATTTTTTGAACTCATTCGCATGAGCTGCCACGATTACAAAGACAAAAATTTCAAGTTTCAAGCATACAATAATGTCCTTTATTACACTGTAATTCTTAAATAACACAACGTTTTTTATTTATTACTTAGATGGGTGGACGAGCTTACAGCCCACCTAGTGCTAAGTGGTTACTGGAGCCCATAGACATCCGCAACGTAAATGCGCCACCCACCTTGGGATATAAATTCTAAGGTCTCAAGTATAGTTACAACGGCTGCCCCACCCTTCAAACCACGCATTACTGCTTTACGGCAGAAACAGGCAGGGTGGTGGTACCCACCCGCGCAGAGTTACAATAGGTCCTACCACCAGTAATTACGCAAATTATAATTTTGCGGGTTTCATTTTTATTACACGATGTTATTCCTTCACCGTGGAAGTCAATCGTGAACATTTGTTGAGTACGTATTTCATTAGAAAAATTCGTACCCTCCGGAGATTCGAACACCGGTGCATCACTCAACACGAATGCGCCGGACGTCTTATCCGTTAGGCCACGACGACTTCTTTTGTTGACGACTTCGTTATACAGCGTGAACAAGCTGTTTACCCATTATAAGCAATAAATAAAAAAAATGTCACTGACGTAAAGTTCATATAATTTCGTGATTTTAAAATCGCTTACTTAAATTTCGTACATTATCACCCACTTGATAGTCACCATAAGCTTTTGTATTTCAATATTCCAATTAAATTCGAATATAATAGAATATAAAATATTTTTAATTTTTTGAGAACAGATTTATGAACGTTATCTCTTTATGCATAGCATGACCATACCACGATAACCTACGACTCTTCAACTTGTTCAACAGCGCTATTTTTAGACTAATTCCTTATTCCCCTATATTAATTTCTGATTTTAACTATTTAGGTTTGATGCTCCACACATCTATCTCAACATTAGCATTTCTGCTGCAAGCATTGTTCTTTTTTCCATCAGTTTGGTAGCACAGCCTTCTGATTCACATAATACAATAGGTCTCATAGCTGACCTGGATTTTTTCCTTTAAATTTAAGGGGTAATGTCAGTACAAGTTTATTCCCGAGACCTAACGCCATTTCATCCATCCACCATTTATTGGACTAATCTTGCCGTTACTTTGCAAGACAGACTCACGTATCTAAATTCGGAGCAGATTGACAGGGAAATATTATCCAAGGCAACTGAAGTAAAAATGAAGGAACGATCAAAGTTATTGAAAGTCACAAAAACTCACTGTCCAATACAATTAAAGTATTGAAATTTCTAAATTTATGTAATTTTTAATAATAGGACATAAAAGCTGGGACAGTAGAAAAAAAAATTGCCATACTCACTCAAGTAACCTTACGTCCTTAAAAATGTTTACAAAAGCAATATTCAACGAACATTTTAAAGTAGGTAGGTGAGTTTCTAAAATTCCAACAACAACAGTGATCCCGATTGATTGAATTTAATACCATAATAATATGTCTGTAGTATCTGGATGTCCGAGGTATCCTAGTAGAGTATATGATAATATCGTCATGATACATCTCTATTTTCTTTCATTTTTCCGTCGGACGGCGAGGCGTTCGTTCGATCGTTTGTTCAACGTCATCTTTTATTCCTGTAATGTCTGAATTTTGTGTTCCACATGCTTAGGGGTAACCGAAATAAGAAAAAATCCAAGAATCCCCGCACAAGAAGAAAAGTCCGAGCAACCGCAGACGTAAATGTAAACTAGAAAGTGTGATCGGAGTCGCGAGGTGTCTCGTCCGTCCGGTTCAAACTAGATTAGGGCAGTTTGAAACTGGAATTCGGGCTCCCTTTCCATAGTATTCGTTTATTTAAAGTTTTGGTGTTGTGCAAAGACATTATTTTAGTTATTTATACAAATATAGTGTTTGTGGTTAATTAGTTAAATAAAAAGCGAAACAAAATGTCTGAAGAATCGTCGGCCGATCGAAATGTCGAAATATGGAAGATAAAGAAACTTATAAAGAGTTTGGAAATGGCCAGAGGGTAAGTTTTGTTCTGTTTTAGTCTCTCTTCAGTTCACAGAAAATGTTCAGTGATCTTTGTTATTGCCACATGACGGAATGTAATTGCCAACGAGGCTGCGTCATTGTCGACATGCGCTGGTGCGCGAGGCATAACCTTGCAAACACGCTACGGTCAGGAATGCGCATTCTACAATGATGCTGACCCTAAAGAAAGCTTCCAACGCCTATATTACGGCCATAATAACATGATTCATTTCAAAACGGAAGTGTTATTCAGTTTTCGTAGCTCATTTACACATCTCTAGTAATTTTCCCTAAATATGTAACAGAGTTTGATTTATGAGTTCATCGTTAGTAACGATCGATCATGCCTTGTACGTGGAAATTTAGCGGTTTTTTTCTCGATTCATTCGTATATTTAGCAGTTCTTTGTTGTAAGGATTTTGGTAACCTATTACGAAATAATTTCAAAATGCATATATTTTTTTTTTTCACACCCAAAAGTGGTAAATGTCGCAGTCCACAACTTAAATGTAGAAACTGACAATTTTGCATTATCGTAACGAACCATAAATTACAAAAAAAAACTCAGAACTGTTTTCAGATTTTCATAATCACATAACTTCAACCTTTTTACTTCTTTTTTTTTTTTTAACCCAATCATCATAATAAATCAATGCTTAGTTTTCTGTTGTATATCAAGCAGTCTCATTTGTATTTCTGCCTATCGTCTTACAAACAGGAATATATCGACGCTTGAAAGGCAAACGTGACTAAGCGACAATGCGTGAACTTTACAGTAGACTAATTTAAATTTGAAATACCTGAAAACAAAATTTATTTTAACGAATCTAGCTGTAGTAGAATTTAGCTAGTAGCTGTAGGATTGAAATGATTTTAATAGATCTAGAAATATATATTTTTTGCGCATCGAATATGGTTATTGCCTATCATTTATGTACAAAGCAGTTATTGTCGCTTAGTCACGTTTGCCTTTCAAGCGTCGATATGATTTATTTGTAGCACAAGTACAATAGTGGTACTTGACTGGATAGGCCTGTTTAACATCACATATTGATTTATTTTCATTTATATATTTTAAATGCAACCGTTTTCATTTATCTCAGACAAATAAATAGATTAATATTTTCCTTTTGGAGTGCATTCTATTTCTTGCATCACTTATAAGTTGGTACTGCTTTTGCTTTCACAAATTCCTTATGATTGCTTACAAAAGTTCATATACAGTCCTTACGTGGACTGTATGTTTGTCTGCCCACAAAGAAAGTATATGCCATATGTTACAACATTAATTCATGATCAAAATGATTTTTGTGACCTGTTATCATAGTTCTCATAGCTTGTAATGAAATTTTATAATGCCTCGATTTTACGAAATAGTCTGCAATGGCATGGCTCTGCCCCTGTCATTGTTGATGTTGATGGGCGTATGATTGTATAGTGGTTACGACATGAAAGCATAACAACAAAATGTTCACCCTACATATTATAATAATTACTTAATTAGTTTTACTCATTAATTAATTAATGAAATAATTATCAATCAATTTATTTTTTTTGTAATTTTCAATTCTTCAGTTGTTTGTTCTTATTGTTTGAATTGTGCACACCTGAAAGTCTAAAACCATTTACAGTATAATAGGTCAGAATTTTGAATTAAAGAATGTATTGTTCACGTTTTCAGAAATGGAACATCGATGATATCCCTGATCATTCCACCTAAGGATCAAATCTCGAGAGTATCAAAGATGTTGGCTGATGAATTTGGTACAGCTTCCAATATCAAGTCACGTGTGAATCGTCTTTCAGTGCTTGGCGCAATTACTTCTGTACAGCACCGACTCAAGCTGTATACTAAAGGTTTGTGATTTAAAACACTTTTAAATAGCTTTGGTTGAACAAACCTATCGGTCACAGTACCATTCAATTATTAGTATTATAGTATTAATTGTCACAGCTGAGTGTAATACGGCTTCAGTAATAACCTAATTCTGTTCATATATTTGAATCTATGAATTATACGTCAAATTATGTGTATGATTTTTGCAACTGAAACTAGATTAATTATAAAAATCTGTTGACAGTCTACAATGTTTGACAGTTTTTTTTTTTATTGCTTAGATGGGTGGACGAGCTCACAGCCCACCTGGTGTTAAGTGGTTATTGGAGCCCATAGATATCTACAACGCAAATGCGCCACCCACCTTGAGATATTTGTTGTAAGGTCTCAGTATAGTTACAACGGCTGCCCCACCCTCCAAGCCGAAACGCATTACTGCTTCACGGCAGAAATAGGCGGAGTAGTGGTACCTACCCGTGCGGACTCACATGAGGTCCTACCACCAGATTTTGTATGAATGATGCGATAAGTCAGGATCTGTTAGGTTTTTTTTTGCTTTACAAATATTGCTGTCCAAGGCTTAGAGAGAGAAAGAGAGTGTATTCTTTATTGTATACCAAAAAAAAAAAAACAATGCGAAACGTTAAATACAAAAAAAGTACAATTGGCGGTTGGTATATTTAATAATTTGTTTAATTTCAGTGCCACCAAACGGCCTAGTTATATACTGTGGTACTATTGTGACAGAAGAAGGTAAAGAGAAGAAAGTGAACATTGATTTTGAGCCGTTCAAGCCTATCAACACATCTCTTTATCTCTGCGACAACAAGTTCCACACCGAGGCTCTAACGGCACTGCTGGCTGATGATAACAAGTTTGGTTTCATTGTTATGGATGGTAACGGTGCATTATTCGGTACCCTTCAAGGAAACACTAGAGAGGTATGTCAATGTGATGTGATGTAACACGTATATTGGAACATACTTTCACACACTTGTGTTGTAAATTAACTTATAAATATTTAGTAACATGTGCATAGTTATAAATTATCATAAAAAGTAAATAATTCTAACTAAATTACTATATATAGTCCATGAAACTAGATTGATGATCAACATACTGAATAAAGTTTTTGAATAAGAACAGTGGTGCAGATGAAACAATTTCATAGTGTTTAACTAATTGTATCAAGGTTATTTTAATGCTGCCCTCTATCCGTTTTAACTAATAGAATTAGGTATAGATCTGAAACTAACTTTGCATTAGCTAATATTGGAGCACATAATTATGTTATTGTGACTGTTTCGCCTTTATGAATGAGAGAGATAGAGAGAGAGAGTATTCTTTATTGCACACCAAAAAATAAACAATGTGATACATTAAATACAAAAAAAAAGTACTATTGACGGTCTTATCTCTAAGAACGATCTCTTCCAGACAACCATGGACAAGAATCATTTGGAAACGAATTATAATATGAATTCTCGATTGACAATTGAAATTTTATCCAAGATATTCAATGTATATTGCAGGTACTCCACAAGTTTACTGTCGATCTCCCTAAGAAGCACGGTCGCGGTGGTCAGTCAGCGCTGCGTTTCGCTCGTCTCCGTATGGAGAAACGTCACAATTACGTCCGTAAGGTTGCCGAGGTAGCCACCCAGCTGTTCATCAGTGCTGACCGGCCGAACGTTGCTGGCCTCATCCTTGCGGGTTCTGCTGATTTTAAGACTGAACTGTCCCAGTCCGATATGTTTGATCCGGTGAGTGGTAGCTATAATAAATAAAAGTTTATATATATAAAAATGAATTGCTGTTTGTTAGTCTCGCTAAAACTCGAGAATGGTTGGACTGATTTGGCTAATTTTGGTCTTGAATTATTTGTGGAAGTCCAGAGAAGGTTTAAAAGGTAGATAAATATGAAAATGATCGGAATTAAATAAAAATAACAATTCTATTTTTCCTTTGATATGTCCCCCGTCGCCGGATTTCTTTTGTTTGTTTCAAGTTTATTTTATACAAAAGTTTAGGTCTTTTATTTATCGATTGAGGCACTACGAAGTCTGCTGGGTCAGCTAGTATAAAAAAAAAACTAACAAAATACGCTTTTATAGAAAATCCAACTAAAAACTAGAAAAAAATTTTTAATAGATTGAATTAAAAATAGTGTAAGAAAAAAAATTTTTATTGTAAAAAAGCGTGGGGTGCTTTTCAGGGTATTATCAAAATAACACTTCTACTCATATCTGTTTATAAAATAAAATATTTATAACTACTGATACCTACTGATTTTTACACCTGATTTAAAAAAAAATATTTAAATTTCAATGATTTCCAGATTTCAGTGTGTCATCCAAAGAACGCCCCCAAAAAGTATCAAATGTTGCAAATACTAACATTCCCACCTGCCTTCATTTTCAATACAGCATGTATTTATTCCAATAATTTTATTTTCTCCAATACTAAACCTACCAACAGTTTTTGTATATCTATTTTTAGTATGTTCATTAAAATGTTCTCCCAATGAAATTGAAATCCTTTAAAATGGAAATTGTAATTCAGTGAAATGAAGCATTCTCTGTCATTATCTTATACTAGATTTTATTTGGTTATGCACTTCTTGTGAATATAAAAAAATTACAATGGGCGAACTAAGCCTTGTGAGTATACCAGAGTCTCATCCAAACTATAATAAGTTTGAATTTGTTGTAGCTTAAAATATGATAAGACGCACGGTGCAGTCGTATTAAGTGATGCGACTGCTGGTGTTTGAATCCCACAGGCACGTACCAATTTTTCTAATGACAATCATTTATGACAAATGTTCACGATTGACTTCCATGGTGAAAGAATAACATCATGTAATAAAAATCAAACCCTCAAATTATAATTTCTGTGAGTCAGAACGGGTAGGTATGTACCATCACCCAGCCTTTTTCTGCCGTGAAGCAGTAATGAGTTTCGGTTTAAGGGTGGGGCAGCCATTGTACTGTAAACACGGAAACCTTAGGCCCGATGTATTGAAGTGGGTTGCGGTATTTACCTTTTTCGTTTTAGATCTATATGAGTTCCAGTAACCACTTGACGCCAGGTGAGGCGTGAGTTCGTCTACCCATCTAAGAAAAAAAACAAAATGTGTGCAATTCACACGTGGTAGAAGTGAAACCTTCAAAAAATAAAATACAATTATCCTAAACGTCTTAAGTATATGTAAAATTTTGTCATTAGTAAATAATTGTAAGGTAGCGCCCTCTGTGAATTGATATTTTAATTTCACGTATAATCCATATTTAAAATTCACTACAAGAGCTTTCATACACACGTTAGTATTAAAAAATCTCACAGATGGCGCTGTATTAAATAGTATGTATATTTCTGTCTCATTCTTTGCTGGCTTCATCCTACACATTTTTGTATTTGTGTCTCTTACCTGTCGTTTTTTCCGTTGCATCCGGTTTGAAATCACAACGATTCGAAAGAAGTTTTCACTTCAANCACAGATGGCGCTGTATTAAATAGTATGTATATTTCTGTCTCATTCTTTGCTGGCTTCATCCTACACATTTTTGTATTTGTGTCTCTTACCTGTCGTTTTTTCCGTTGCATCCGGTTTGAAATCACAACGATTCTAAAGAAGTTTTCACTTCAAAAAATTAGCACCAAACTGTTACAAGTTAAATTTTAATATATTTTGCTGTGGCTAGTGTTAGCGATTGTATCAAGTTGAGTCCATGATCTCACCTACCGGTCCCTGAGCATCTTGAATAGCCCTGATGTATCTAAAATTAGATAGTAAAAAAGTTATAAATGCGAAAGTGCAACCCAAGCAAAGCAAATGTGTAAAAGCTAGTTGAATAAATAAATTTGTATTTTTTCAGCGTCTCCAAGCCAAGATCATAAAACTGGTGGACGTATCATATGGAGGCGAAAACGGTTTCAATCAGGCTATAGAGCTGGCTGCAGAATCCTTGCAGAATGTCAAGTTTATACAGGAGAAGAAACTAATTGGACGCTACTTTGATGAGATCTCACAGGTTTGTTCCAGTTGCAACTACTGAATATCCTTTAAAAAAGTAAGAAAAATTACTTAACTAAATTGAAAGCCAAAGTAAAAATAAAAGCTTTTTATTCTTGGTGAAGAAGTCAGACTAAAGTGTTATATTGTCATAGATTCTTTAAATTTGTGCAAATTTTCAAGTTAGCCTGATATCTCATAGTTGGTAAAAATTACATTGAAAGATTCTGGGTCACAGATAGTATATAGGAAAATACACTGTTGTGGACGAGTTCACAGCCCACCTGGTTTTAAGCGGTTACTGGAGCCCACAGAAATCTACGACGTAAATGCGCGACCCACCTTGAGATATCAGTTCTAAGGTCTTAAGTATAGTTACAACGGCTACCCCGTCCTTCAGACCGAAACGCATTACTGCTTCACGGCAGAAATAGACAGTACGGTGGTACCTACCCGTGCGGACTCACAAGACGTCCTATCACCAGGAATTACGCAATTATAATTTTGCAGGTTGAATTTTTATTACACAGTGTTATTTTTCACTATGGAAGTGAATCGTGAACATTGGTTAACTACGTATTTCATTAAAAAAATTGGTACCCGCCTGTGGGATTCGAACACTGGTGCATCTCTGGATACGAATGTGCCAGACGTCTTATCCCTTAGGCCACGACGACTTATTGTACTTATTTTATAGGACACAGGAAAGTATTGCTTCGGTGTCGATGATACACTGCGCGCTCTCGAACTCGGATCCGTCGAGACGTTGATCTGCTGGGAGAACCTCGACATACAAAGGTTTAGCTGAAATTTTGATTTTTTGACTCTCATCATCATTCTCCTGCCCTTCTCCCAGTCACCTGGGGTCGGGGCAATATGTTTTCTCCTTCTATACTCCTCTATCATATACCATTTCTTCGCTAACTCCCTTCTTACCCATGAGTCGACTATTATCAAAGCCGGCAATCTGACTTTTGGACAATGATTGGTAAATCAGAAAAACGAATTATTGACTTTGTATTCCATTGGCAGTCACAAAACTCTTCGGAACGACATCTTAGATAAATAACAGGTTAACTATTAACCTTTATTTAATGCAGGTTTTGAACCGTATTCTTTGAAGGAGACGATTATATTCAAATCAATCTGTATTGACATATCAATAAAATTTTTTTGTCCAAATGCACAGATTGCCACCTTTGATAATAGACGACTCATATATGAGTCGACTATTATCAAAGGCGGCAATCTGACTTTTGGACAATGATTGGTAAATCAGAAAAACGAATTATTGACTTTGTATTCCATTGGCAGTCACAAAACTCTTCGGAACGACATCTTAGATAAATAACAGGTTAACTATTAACCTTTATTTAATGCAGGTTTTGAACCGTATTCTTTGAAGGAGACGATTATATTCAAATCAATCTGTATTGACATAACAATAAAAAACTTTTGTCCAAATGCACAGATTGCCACCTTTGATAATAGACGACTCCCATATCGTCTTTCACGCAATCCATCCATTTCTTCTTAGGTCTAACTCTTCCTCCATATCAGGGGTTCCCAAACTTAATTTTGTCTACTGCACACTTTGAGAATAAATTATATTTTAGCACCCCCATTTTTTCACCTACTTCATAACCATTATAATGAGAGCTTAGTCGGGGTGTCTAGATGAAATTACAAATCACCTCCCAAGCCTCTACACAACGCCCCATTTCTTTTGGGGGTCTCTTACCGCCCCCCTTTAGGCCTGCAGCGCCCACAAGAGGGCGTTATCGCCTACTTTGGGAAAGGCTGCTCTATATCCTTCCACATTCATAGTTAACGCTCTCTTACCAACCAATTTTCATTTATGATTTTTTAACTCTACTTTAACTAATAACTTTGGGTCCCGTTCTGTTAATGTTTATTCTACAATTCTTTTCATCCTTTAGTTGTGTGGTTCTTTTTATAGTATCCATATGGAGACGAGCTCTCACGCTCATCCGGTGTTAAGTGTTCATTAAAGGGGAACTCTAACTGGTAGTGTCAGTTTAATATAACGCTGACCCATTTCTCAATGTTTGAGTCCTTACGAATAAAGGAATCACATGTAACATCACTGTTTAACATGGTACAGAACATGGTGTACCCACCCCCTCTGTTTCTGCTATGAAGCAGTTATTCCTTTCAGGTTGAAGGGTTAAGTAGCCCTTGGACCATACATACCACTGTTGACAAATATATGGCCGTTAAGACTAAGGGGGAATTGGGCCTTATCGTCTAAAATGGTATAAAATACCCACTGAGTTTCTTGCCGGATCTTCTCAGTGGTTCTGGGAAGCACTGCTCTTGCTAGGGCTAGTGTAAGCAAATTCTCTCTAATTGAGCCCGTGAGCTCACCTACCCGTCCGCGCGTAGCTGAAATAGCCTGGGTGCCTGTCCACTGGAGCGGAGCGGAGAAATGGAGAAAACCAATAAGATTGCACAAAATCATTTTTCAATCTTATTGTTTTGATTTTGTGCAATCTTGTTGGTTAATATTTCTCTGTTTCTCCGCTCCGGTGGACAGGCACACTTAGGCTACCAGCTAATAAGTAGGGAAGAAAAGGTATACAATTAAATATATTTATTGGTTTGAAATGAAAAATTAAATATGACTTAATTTTTTATGAGATTTATTATTTGATGATTATAATTACAGATACGTATTGAAGTCGCATGCCACCAACCAGGAAACAATTCTCCACTTGACACCTGAACAAGAGAAGGACAAATCACATTTCACCGACAAAGAGGTTAACTTTTGAATTTTAAGAGCTGATTCCAAATCTTACATTACTCAATAACTATTATGTGAGATGACTAAAAATCAGTATTGTTGGATGCACTCACTGCAGACAGCTTATCTCAAGCACCGGTCACCGTTCTCGTCGAACCCGTCGCTTGCGACGAAGGGCTCGTTGAGTAAATTAACCCTCAGACACAGCCCACTGAGTTTCTCACTGGATCTTCTCAGTGGGCCGCGTTTCTGATCCACTGATGAATAATTTTAAGTGGTTTTAAGTTAGTCCAGTGTTAGTGACACTCCGGTTTGAGCCCAGTGAGCTCACCTACATGCTAAGGTGAAGCTGAAATAGCCTCGCAAGGCTATCAGCATAGGTAGGGAAAAAGAAAAAAAAGCAGACGTCATCAGCTGAGCTAATCATTTTATTTATTTTTTGTTTTTAAATGCGATCCTTTTGTCTTTAAAAAGTAAAAATCTATTCTAATATATAAATCTACAGTCGTTTTTATGGATGTATCCGTTATAACTACTGAACCATGCATCCGAATGACTTGAAACTTGGTATCCATGTAGAAAATACGTGTACTTAATGAATGGCTAATATGTATGAGTGTTGGACTTCCTACACCAGTTGCGGGGGTGTTAATGATGAGAATCTTTGTGGGGGTGAGAAATAATAATGTTAATATTAAATGCCCAGCGAAGCTGTACCCACAGCTACGGTACAGGTACGGCTTGTGAGTCCGCACGGGTAGGTACCACCGCCCTGCCTATTTCTGCCAAGAAGCAGTAACGCGTTTCGTTTGAAGGGTGGGGCAGCCGTTGTAACTATACTGAGACCTTAGAACTTCTATCTCAAGGTGGGTGGCGCATTTACGTTGTAGATGTCCATGGGCTCCAGTAACCACTTAACACCAGGTGGGCTGTGAGCTCGTCCACCCACGACGACGTCCAACCGAATCTTGATGTCGATTATTATTTTCATCAGAGCGGAGTGGAGCTGGAGCTTGTGGAGTGCCAGCCGCTGTTGGAGTGGCTGGCCAACAACTACAAGTCGTTTGGTGCCACCTTAGAGATCATCACGGACAAGAGCCAGGAGGGAAGCCAGTTCGTTCGCGGCTTCGGAGGGATCGGCGGTCAGTATAACATGATTTATTAATGTTTTGAAATGCACATTGGATATTTATGAAATTATTTTCATAGTAGACATATATAAGCATATATAGAAGCTGAGAAGTGCGCGTTTGGGATGCTATGGACATGTGATGAGACGAGATGAAAATGAGGTTGGTAAGAGAGTGTTGACTTTGAATGTGGAAGGATATAGAGGAAGAGGTAGACCTAAGAAGAAATGGATGGATTGCGTGAAAGACGATATTTGTAAGAGGGGAGTGAGCGAAGAAATGGTATATGATAGAAGAGTATGGAAGGAGAAAACATGTTGCCCCGACCTCAGGTGACTGGGAGAAGGGCAAGATAATGATGATGATGATGAGTAGACATATATCTTCTTCTCGCATTAAAACTGTATAATCTCAAAACTTACTAATTTTACAGGAGAGTGTAAAGTTTTAACATAAAATATGATATTTCTAATATTAATCGTCTTTGCAACATTTATTTTTTTATCAGTTACATTATCTGTCTTTTAAAATAAGATAAAATTGTGTATTAATTTTGTTAATAATAGTCAAAATATAGATAAACTAAAAAACAAAAAAAAGTAAACTACGCTCTTTTGACAGTATTTATGAGAAAAATACTGGTGATACCAAATGATTCCCGCATATTAACTCAATTTCGAATATTTTTGGATATTGTACACTTTTTAATGCGCAAAGACGATGTGTCGCCTAATGGAAAATTAGGCGTATAATTTTGTTCTTTTATGAAGATATAGAAATGTGACATGTTAGTCGAGTTGTAAAATAATATAAGAATACAATATCTTTACGAGGCTTTTAACAAATCAACAGATAGGTTTGTAGTTTGAATTTAAGTAAAGCCTAATTAACAATGTTTTAGAGTTTATTGCAAATCAGTTAGGTACCACTACCGATTTCTTTGGGGAACCATTATAATAATAACCCAGGAACAAGTCACATACGATCATCTAGTCCCGAATTAGGATCTCCTGTACTATAAGAATTAGGAGACTGATACACATATTCATATAATAACATATCTAAATGTATCATCATCATCATTATTTCCTATTACCCTCTGCTGGGGTGTAGGGCTCGCATCAAATCTAAATGTATATATGTGTAGATATTAAACAAACAAATCTGTTCAAAACACGTATGATTTCGCGATGCGGGTATCGAACCCACGACCCTCGGCTCAGCAGTCAGAGGCGGTAATTAACCACCGCCGAATCAGTGTTTCTTAATGCCGTTAGCTTTGATAGGACAACTTCTGTAGCAACTAGTGTCTGTCTTGCGATATTCATACTTTAGTATCCTTCTCCTTGCATTGTGCTCCTCAGTCCTTGAGGGTCGTGACCTTTAGGGAGCATTTTAAGTCGGACTATGTTCCTGCATTCTCTCCTGGCCTCTGCGCAGTATATAGAGACATTGATGCTGGAGTCCGATGTCGTCTTAATTTGATTGAACCCAGCGCATGGGACTAAGCCCCCTTGGCCTCTTTCCTTCCACTTTGCCTTCAGTTACATGAAAGTATATATATATATATACAACCGAAAAAATATAATGCTACAACAAAGTGTATAAAATCTTATATTTTTCTAAATTAATATCTCGTGAACCGGCAATGAAAAGCGAACAGCCACCCGATGTTTGTGTTACATTGCGCACTGTCTATAGATTTGTAAAATATCGATTTTTGTATCATACCTTTTTGCCTGTTGTCGTCTGTCGAGCCATCATCACTATCAGTCTTCGGTTTCGGCAAAGGCTTATAGTGCACTCTGTTTAAATAAACTTACGTATGCAACATCAACTATAGTGCGCGCGGAAATAGTTGGCAGCGCCTTAGGTATGTGAGGGGTGGGACGAAGAGGCGGGGGCGCTGGCTTTCATTACTGATATTACTTTTTTTCTCTTTTATTGATGCACAAAACAAATTATATGATTATTTATAATTATTTGATACTATGATAGTCGAAATCATTATAAACTTACAAGATGATTCTGAATCAAGTTCAGAGTTCAGAATCAAGTGATTCAGAGGATAGAGGTAGGCAGCGGCTTGGCTCTGCCCCTGGCATTGCTGAAGTCCATGGGCGACGGTAACCACTCAAGATCAGGTGGGCCGTATGCTCGTCTGCCTACAAGGGCACTTTAAGTTAATCTATGAAAAATCATTAGCTAGGTCTAGTCTTACTAAGTCTTCTGAAACTAAGTTAAATGTTCTCTTTAATTATCGCGGTAATCTACATTACAGCACTTTAAGTTAATCTATCAAAAATCATTAGCTAGGTCTAGTCTTTGAAACTAAGTTAAATATTCTCTTTAATTATCGCGGCAATCTACATTACAGCACTTTAAGTTAATCTATCAAAAATCATTAGCTAGGTCTATTCTTTGAAACTAAGTTAAATGTTCTCTTAAATTATCGCGGTAATCTATATTAAAAACACTATTCTTGAACGGGTTCTTACCACATTTTCACGTTAAGTTCCCGACATATAGATTTTTGCAAACTACCCATGATTGTGGGTAGACTAAAATCTGTGGGTAGGATTTTAGGAGCAGACAAATAAGTTTACCATATTTAAACAACAAATATCACGAAAACGCGTAATGTTAACATCTTGGTACAAAAGAAAACTCTCAATAATAGTTTGTGTAATGTTAATGTCGTTTGTCTGATTTACGAATATTGCACAACGTTCCCATGAGTCTGTTAACAGTAGGCTTGCACTGATTGATTATTTTTTTCAGTAGTGATCATTACAATGCTTGCTCCAATGATCTCCTGTCGCGGCCTTAGGCTTATGGCAGGCGTAGATGTAATTTAAATTTAAAATACATTTGCGGTCGAATCTGATGTAAAATTTGACGGTAGTCAGCGATTATCAAGCACGTTTATAATTAGAGATGAAACGGATAGTGGTTTGGCCGGATACCGGATACCGAATATTCGGCAAATTGCGAGGCCGGACCGCCGGATCTTCGGCCCTTTCGGAAATATTCGTGCGCGTTCGGGTGTTGTCGCACTTGAGCGGAGATCGCGACGACTCGGTACGACGACAATTTGGTTTTAATTCACCACAATTTGCCACTTGTTAATTTTGAGAATTAAACAAACTAATTAATAAAGCAATCACTTCTGACGCGCGATTATAAAAATAAAAGTTGTCCATGACCTCTTTTACTATTCGAAATCCGGCCGGAATGTGAAAACATAGCCCGGATAGACCGGATATCCGTTTCATCTCTATTTCTAACACCGGCCCTAGCAAGAGCGGTGCTTCGCTGAATCTACCACCGGATCGGAATCGCGACCCGTTGAGGAGATCCGGCGAGAAGCTCAGTGAAACCGTAAATGTAGTTTTAGATGTGCCAATGATGTGTTTATAAGTTTTATTTATTTGTTTAATTAAAAGTGTAGATTTTTCTAGAATCCTTTTTTTTTGGGTATTTTGGTCGGTGTTTGCACATATGCCTTTTTATTTTACATATATTTTTCTGTACACATATTTTTCATTTGAGAATATTAATATAAAGAATAATTTAATTTTTTTATAAGGGTTTGATCGTTAATGCTCCGCGAATTCTATATGTTAATAATTGAAATGATAATAATGGTAACGATTGGCACGGTTTGTGTCTTATGCCGCCATAGCTTTAAGTGGCTTAGGCTTTGACTCTGGTATTGTTGGTGTCCATGCGACGATGACCATCATCAGGCATCATCAGCTGCCGTCCGATGTTTTAAATCGCCCGTTTGAAGTTAGCTGCTTCAATAAATTGGCTTTGCCCCGAGGCCCCGAGTGTCGATGGGAACACAACACTAATTGCGTCATCAGCTCGTGGGCTTTGGGCGGAAAAAAAAACCATTTTTTTCCTGAAAATTCTTTGAACTAACCTACAAATTTCTTTTCACTGCTGCTCTGATCGCGACGCGGATTGTTGGGTAAAAAATTTTGAAAAAAAAATTAAAACGTATCTAGGAATTCTTCGATACAAAGTTGATTTTCAGTCACTTCAATTGGACGAGCCCCTCGACGACGTAGATCTAGATGATTATTAATAATAATATAAAAAATAATAATAATAATAACAAAAAAAAACGAAAAAGCAACAAATGTTATTTAGAAGTTAAGCTTGCTTTCATTGTTTGAATTGTGCTGTCGGTTGCAGGCGGGCGTTTGAAATGATGACGTTAAGTTAAAAAAAAGTGCTTTTGTTGCTTAATGAATCATATCGATCAATACACGACATTTATCTTTGCAATTAAAGGTGCGTTTTATTTGGTATTAGCATCAAAAGTTTGATGTTAATTGAACTTCAATTAAGTTTACTCCATTCAAATAGCTGTAGAAGTTTTTTTGTTATGATATTTTGTCCAAATTTTAAACTTCTGTAAAGTTCTAAAAATGTCGCTTAAACCTAATAAAAATAGCTTTTCCTTCCTCGATATTAGAATTGGTCGATATACAAAATGCATTAAGATTTATTTTTCGGGGAGAAAATTTCCGAGAACTCTTAATTCGTCGCTACCGTGCCCATTTCTGCTGTGAAGCAATCGTGTGTTTCTTCTTGCCTCAGGGAAGTTCTCGTGCCGATGTCTGGGCCTAATGAAGAGTCCTTATTGTAGACTAGCGACCCGCCCTCGCTTCGCTTCGGATACATTAAAACGCACATGAAACCAAAAAAAAAAAAATTAAAAAAAGTAGCCTATGTTCATCCGGGACAATGTCGGCTTCTAATGGAAAAATATTTTTTCAAATCGGTCCAGTAGTTTCGGAGCCTATTCGAAACAAACAAACAAACAAATCTTTCCTCTTTATAATATTAGTATAGATTAACGAAAATGTGCTACTACGCTTGTTATATTAAAGTTTGCACTATGAAAATATTTAACACCTTATCCGTTTGTCAATTTTACTGAACATATCTTTCATTATACTTAATTATTGGCAAAAGTACAGCTGCGTCAGAAACGCGGC